GCTCCCCACATTTGAGACCCCGTACTTGTTGTGAGAGCTCTCACTGTCGAGTTTGTTGGCTTACCGAAGGTAATTTGAGCTAATCTTTCTAACTTTGCACTGGAACAGGGTGAGAGCATCACACAGCCAGCTCTGGGGTCTCTGTGACAGGGGGTGGTGGCAGTGTAACGTGAAGAAGGGCCGGTAACTTTACCCTATAATGAGGTATCCCACTGTGCTTGCATCTAACCAGAGTTTATCAACCCAAACGGTAAAAATAACAAATAAAACGTGTTTGGATGTGTGGTTTTAATTTACTTGCTTGTCTTTGTTGGGCTCACGTGCACAGGGGCTTGCAGTTGATTGGAAGCTAGCTGCGAAACTCCTTTCTCTTAACCCCCCACTTTCTTCCTTTCCTCTTCTCTGAAGTTTTCTGTTGCAGATCCTCCCACTACGTTAGCAGAGAAATTCACCTGCTAGTTGCGTTTCTTCTCTTAAATAGAAATCTCTACATTGGCAACACAGTTTTGTCCTAAAGGAGCTAATGTGCAGCTTTCTGGAGCACAGGATTAATAGAAGAGTTTCCACTGGTTTTCAAATGAAAATAAAACTAAAAAAAAAAAAAATATAGCACTTCCATTTAGTAATATTAGGAGAATGTGCTGCATAATGTTTTTGTTTCGATATGATCTAGAGTACAGTAGACTTCTTGACTGTTTCCTCCTCTTTATCATCCCCAGGTTTCCTAGGTGCAGCAGGTCTGGGAGGGAGCGGGGAGGAGGTGATGCAGATAAGTGAACCAACATCTCTGCATCCCTTCCTCTCCCTCCTTCCCCATTTTTCTGCCCTTTTACCAGTTTTGCCACGGGCTCTTTGAAGATGGCCTTTGGTCAAAAACGCTGCGAGCTCTTGGTTTCGGGGGGAGAGGTGGAAAAAAAGCCAAGGCTTTGGACTCCCCCTGCTGCCTCCTCCTCCCTCAGGTCTGCACGGCGCTGGGTGACTCGGTGCTGGGGGGGGACAGGCAGTGCTGCTGGATCCACACCGCCCTCAGCATCGTTGCCTCGCTGGCTGGAAGCTGCTTATCTGCGGAGTTAATCTGCAGATAAGGCGCTGCGTTAATGCACTGCATTCCTGGGACCAAACTGCCCCTCCTCGCTCCCGGGGTTTGCAGATAGGGATTACGGGCTCCGTGTGCGTGTTTGCAGGGAAAGGCAAACTGACGGCTTGGATGAAGCCCAAGGAATGGGGTGGGTGGCAGAGTTTATATATGTGCTGGGGGTTGATTTGGCTCAAGCTGCTGTGTAAAGTTCACTTTGGCAGCCGAAAGATGCAGAGAGAAGCACTTTCAGAATTAGAGACAGTGAGGTAATGAGAAAGTGACATAGGAAAGGAAGTGTGGGGGGGGAGAGGAGGGCTCAAAATGCGAGTTGACATCATCTGATAGGTTTTCCAGCCTGTGCAGCAGCTATTTTTACGCTTCCAACTCACGGTATTTAGAGCTCAATGACAGCCAACTCGCCAGAGGTGGGGGTGCTGGTATATCCCAGCGTGGGCTGGGGGGCCGGGGAGCCACTCGGGAGCTGAGGCAAACATCCAGCTTCCCAGGCACGTCTGCTCCTCTTGCCTTGCCTTACACCTGCAGGGTGCTGGTTTGCCTTCGGCTCATGCTTACGGCAGGGAGTGCCATCTGACTGTCCCCAGCTAGTTGAAAAGATCGGAGTGTGTGGGCTTCGGGCTCTTCCCGAGAGCCGGAGGAGCCAGCATGTGCAGTGAGGCCAGGCTGGTGTTTCCACCTCTTCCTGAAGGTCACTGGAGGTGGGAGGCGGGATTGTGGGAATGTCCAAAGCCAGCTCGCATTAAATAAATGGGATCCGTAGCGGAGGAGGTGTAGGCGACACAAGTGTCAGTGTGAGGTCTGTATTTATTGGGAAGTATAAAATCAGTGGAGTCATAAGACAGCAAAGCTTTACAGTGGTGTAGGTGCAGCATTGTGTTATTTTTCTGGCTTTTGTCTGCTTGCTAGAAATATCAGAGCTGGATCTGCAAATATATTGGGCTCACACTTTTTTTTTCTAAGGGTTCATATGGCTTAGACCTTGACTGAGATCTTCTCACGTTGTCTGAGCGAGCACCTATTGCAGCTGCTTGCCAGTTTTTAGCAGTACATTGTTTGGGTTTCATCCCTAAATTGTGTGCGTGCAGATCCTTGCAGGCTCTGTGTCTTCTGGGAAGAGGGCAGGGGACCTGCACTGCGCTGCAGGGAGGAATGGAGGTGAAAGGATTAAAAAATGCACATTTGAAGTGGGAGCTGTCAGCAAATTTTCTGTCTGCTCATTAATTTTAATTTAAAGAGTACGCTAATTTTGGGGGGGATAAAGCTAATGAGTCAGTTCCATGTGACAGCTGAAGTGATGCAAAGTCTAACGCGTGTCAAGTCTCCTGGTTCCTCTCTCCCTTCCCAGCTCTGCTCACCAGCCACCAGCCCAGGTGCCACATACGGGTAAGGCTGCCCGGTCAGTGGAACTGGCTCATTAGGGAACCAGGTGAATGTCACAACTGGTTTAAGGAGGCCGAGAGGAGGGCAGGAGAAAGGATTTTAAAGACCAAATATCCCGGGCAGGGTTAGAATTTAACTGGAGGGCGCTTCACTCTTCGGCACTTCTCTTCCAGCACAAAATAGGGCTTTGAAAAAGCTGCTGCTTATCTCCTGTCTTGGCTTTTGAAGGTAGAGAAATGACGAGAAAGTTAGTGAATGTGTCCAAAACAGTGAGTAAGTAAAGATAACTGACATTCAAAGAAGAGTAGTGCATGCTATGCCCACGTGCTGTGCCCACTCGCAAGCCGTTTGTGCACCTGATGTTACGTTTTATTTCCTTGCGAGGGCAGAAATAGCAATGCAGCATCTTGAGGGAGAATACAACCCACGGTCTGTATCTCATTTCACACTTGAAAGTCAGAGGATGCAAGGCTCAGTAGATGTCTCCAGGACTGGTTATGAAAATTGAGTTTGATGCTTTCCAAGCGAGAAAGCTGGGGAGACGAGAAATCAGTGAACATTGGACGTGTGTTGGAGTGGGTTGGTGCCACTTCTCCGGAGCAGCTCGGCAGCTGAAGCGTGCTGGATGCCTTACTTCTGCCGTGACAGACCTTCCCATCCTCCCTCTGGCCCATCCTTTTCTGGTTTGGATAATTCCTCCTTCCTTCAGACCACTCAGGAACGCTGTAGGACAAATTTGACGCCGTAGGACAAAATTACAGAGTATGTTGCTGAAGGAAGACAAGATTTACCTGGCTGCCATTCAGCCAGTCAGGTGGTTGTCTTTCCAAGCTATTTTCTGTGTAGGAAGAAAGAAAGGTAAGTCGGCATCCGCATCTGCAGCCCTGCAAAAAGACATTGAGGGGATCAAATCTTCATCAAGACGGAGCTGTCAGTGACAGCAGCGGAGGGTTGGTGAAGTCATCAGAGCGCCCAAGCTGGCAATACGGTAGATTTCACGTATTATTAGCTGCTTGGGGCCTCCGTTCTTCCAGTTCTCAAAGTTTGCTTCATCAGAGCTCGGGTGATGCCTTAGGGCTGTTAGGGCACCGCCTGGGTGGCTGTGACTGGGCTGGAGGGAGCAGCAGCTCCCACTGGCCAGGCTTTGCGCGCCGTACTGCTGGGTCTGAGGCCCCGTTTGGCAAGGCAATAGCAAATCTTTGACCTCTGTGGCTGAATCTTTTCGTTTCCCCCATCCAGACACTGTGGTACCAGAAAGAGCAGGACTCAGTCTGGCACGGGGTAGGTTTTGAGTATGGATTCTTTTCTGAGTGAAGGTGGAACTTTTCCAAGCGAGAAGAGCACGGCTGCACGAGCTCAGAAATATCTTCTGCAATCTAGGATCATGGTTTAATAAACACGTAAAATTCAGTATATTAATTTCTAGTTTGTAGCTTAAAAAGGTGTTAGATTGCTTGTTTGCTCTGGTGCTGCTAATGGCAGAGTTAAAGTTGTTTTCCAGATTTGGTTGAGCATCACTTGTTTCAAGATTTCAGCTTCATTATTAAAGAGATTTTTTTTTTTTTTTTCTTGTGGCTGTTACTCCAGCCTCACTCTGTAAAATTTTGGTCTTGAGAGAGGCAGAACTTGAAGTGTAGACTGTTTTGGTGGGGTTTGGAGTATTCACCTTCTTGTTTTTGTAATGTCCATGTGGCTATCTTGCTTCAGGCTTGTAGGACGACAACAGTTACAATTATTATTTTTTTTCTGGGAAGATGCTGAAATACTTTTCACGTGTGTGTCATCATTGGACAACTTTTTTATTTTATTTTTTCTTTCTTTTTGCTCAGACTTCCTTGTACCTGTTATGATGCATGCTTTGTGAGATCAGGAAACAGCAAAGCCACCGGCTGTCCTGGTGTGAGCACCTCTAGGCTGTCGGTAGGATGGAGCGTGCTCTTCCCTGGCCACTTCCAATTCCAGCACCGTGCTGCTGGTTCCTATATACAGAGACTGACGACCCGGTGACATCCAGCCATGATGTGCATTAAATAAGCTCCTGGTGAGACAGCCGCCTCCAAACGAGCACAGATTGTGACATTTTGGTGCTCGCAGGAGTGTTATTGACTGGGGACTGCTGAGTGTCTCCAGCTAGGTGTTTCTGCTGGGATAAGAGAAAGGGTTTAGGGGAAGAGGAGGCGGCTCTGTGTGCTTGTACAGCAGCAGCCTGCTGCTGCCTGCGTGTAGTCTCACACCAATGCATGTAAGATCTGTTTCCACACTGACCAGTTCAGCTTTCTCCACAGCCAAAATTCAATTTCTGATGGTTTAAGAGGGAAAAAAAGAAAAGAAAAGAAAAGAAAAGGCTGCTGCTCACGGCGTGGTGGCGTGCTCCTGGCTTTGTGCGCGGCGCGCTCCCAGCGGGGAGGTGCAGAGAGGGGAGCGCTGCATCACATGGCAGTGCCTGTCTGGCAGGTGGCTGCAGGGTGAGGAGAGGAACCAACTGCTCACTATTTTGGGTGAATGAGGTTGCCTGTCACTGCCAGTGGCTCCGAGAAGAAGTCCACGCATCTGTTGATAAGCACTGCCCTGCACACTGGGATCCCGAATGCTTCCAGCCGCTTGCAGAAGCAGCAAAGCGTCTGTCCGAGTTTTGAGGTAGTAGGAAGAAAAGCTTTGCCAAGAGGCTTGCTGATTTTAATCTTTAGATGCTGGCTGTCAGGATCTGTCAGTGCCTGGCGTACCTCTGGGTTCCCGTTGAAGCACAGCCTTGGAATCGAGCAGGAAACTGAGTTTTTTTCCAGTTGGTGCAGTGACAGAAACCCAGTAAAGAGGGATCGTGGCTGGGTCTCTCGTGAGGATTAAGCACCCTCTCTGCTAGCCTGGAACGCCTCCCGTGTTGCAGACTCGGCCTTCAGGTCCAGGGATTTCCTCTAATATGTTGGATAAAGCCAAGACACTCCAGCCTGCCTATGTCGGGATTGTGCCGCTTGCAGAGACTGTGGCAAAGCAAGGGAAGAGCTGTTCGAGCCCGTACCAGGATTCATACCACAGCTTGCGAGAAGGTCAGCAGGCTCTGCTTTCTTTCTTCCTTTTAGGCACCATGTAATTGGTTTGTGGGTTTGTGTTGTTGTTTATTTTTTTTCTTCCCTTTCCCTTGCATATTGAATCTGCCTGCTTTTGCTTTTTCTGTCCAACCCGGGCAGTTGTCCAGATTTCGGGTTTCCCACTGGCTCCTCTGACCCGTTGTTCCTGAGGGCGCTCGTAAGCATGTCACAGGACGAGGTCAGAGCCCCGTGTGTAGGGACTTGCAGAGGGACAGTTTCCTTGGGACAATTTCACTTGTGTTTGGGAACTTGTGGAGTTCAAATTTCTCCTTCTCCTCTACATCTGTAAGGATCTTGTAAGCCGTGCTTTAAGGCCGATTTATTAAAGGTGCAAAGGCTTATTTTGGAGGGGCAGCTCTGTCCTGAAGGGGATAGAGTATCACGTTTTGAGTTTCATTATGTTCGTGTTCAGAGTGTGGAAGGAGTGGGGTGTGTGTATCTGGATAAGATCCTGTTTCAGTTAATGGTGTTTCCCTGCGAATACATGGGATTTCTTACAGGGATTTGTCATTTCTGCAAAATTATGCAGACAGATAGAGGTCAAGTTTCAGGGAGTTTCTTCTATGACAAGAAAAGCTTCTTCTATGAGAAGAAAAGACAATATGGAGGGGTTGCTTGCAAGAATGAATTTGAAGAAGAGCTGAAGAAGATGAGTACAGACAGTGACTCATTCACAGTGAGCAGCATAATAGATAGCAACAAGCAGGAAAAAATTACAGGATAGAACAGCAGAACATAACAAAATGCCAGTGACAAACACACACAATTTGATCAGAAATAATGGATTCACCTAAATGCAAGTGAAGTTTTAGTAAGGCCTTGCAGGAGTGAACAAAGGTGTCGAGCACAGTGGCCTCAGAAGTAAGGTGAAGGCTGGTTTAAAGAGCGAGTAATGTGATCTGAGGGGAGAGGAAAATAACTTCCAGTGACATTTTGGACAGAAAAGTAAAGAGTGGTCCGAGCTGAGTACTGAAAGCCGGATAGAGTAAGGCCGTGTTTGTTATCAAAAGACAGCCAGTGTGTGGAAGATGATTTTAGCAGTTGAATTTAGAGGATTTTTCTCTCGTGCAGCTTTTGATCTGCTGAGGTTGCCAAAGAAAACTGTTAAAGTTCTGTCCCCTGCTGTCATTCCCCATACCAAGCCCCGTTATCAGATACCAAGAGTGAGCTTTTTATTAGATTTTTAAATTACTACTATTTTCGTTGCTTGTTTTCCTTGGAATACTCTTTGTCAAGCAAGTGTGGAAAAGGAAAAGAGAACTGAAGCCATAGCTCTCCAATTAAAATTTGGGACTCAGTCATAAATCCACTGGTGTCAGCAGTATTCCCACATTACTTTGTCGGCTCTGGGGGCAAAGAACTGCAGCACATCAATCTTTGGAGGAAGAAAGAAAACAAAACAAAAAGCCCGAACTTGCAGCTGACTTGTTATTTGCAAGGCGTTCATGAGGCTTGTGGAAGGTGAGCACTCTGCTTTTGGATGTGCCAGGGTATGCCTTTCATACAGGCACTAAATAGCACAAGCTCTACAGTGGCATCACTTGTAGAATGAGGAAAATGCAATTCTGTAGTACTTTCATCAACAGAAAAATAGGTGCTGCCATCTCTGGTGGAACCGAATTAAGGCCATTGAGTTCTTGTATATCTCTAAATAAACATAATAAATAAATATACATAAATATAAATGATTGAAAAAGCTGTGTTGGCTCTGCAGGGTTTAGCAACATTCATCAGCCTGCTCCATGTCTAATTCCTGATGTTCTAATACCAGATGCAATGGGGAAGGCTACTTGCTACCAGCTACCAAACAGGAAGGGTAGGAAAGAGAAGTGGATGCTGCCAGTTTCTTTCATGTCAGAAAAAAAAAAAACCAAACACGTTAGCTTCACTGCTGCTCCATTCAAGTCTCTGCATTCTCAGGACTCCTGCTGTATTTATGCTGTAGCATTCACCGGATTTTGCAGAGCCAAATCTTAGAGGCAGTGGAGGAGCAGATGCACTCGTGTGTACCCTTGCAAGAGCAATGGAAGTCAGGATTTACCGCTGAGCTAAATGAAACTGTAAGGACTGTTGTACCTCATTTTCGGCAAAAAATGGGACAGCCTACTTTTCTTATCATGCCGGAATTCATCCACTTCTCTTCCTCACTTTTTGCCACACACAGGTGATGGGTGCCAGTCTGCTTTCTTCTATTAGTAAAGCCAGGCAAATAAAGAGGGGTCTGCATTATGCTGGCAATGTTCACTCCTGTTTGCTTCATGAATCTTACGAGAAGTGGCTGTCTGGAATAGCCGTCATCTTGTTTTCTTGCCTCTGGAAAACATGGTGCCCTACATTTGATTTAATGTGTTTTGTTTTGTTTTTTAAGTGGGGCTTGACATAATGAAATACGGGAACTGCTGAGCCTTTCCACACACAAATTCATTTGACATGGGGAAGTCAAAGGGCGTATGCGTGTTTTTTTCAAAGTATGTGTTGGGGGCAGTTATTTGTAAAATTCCTAGAATTCAGAAATCCATAAACATGTTTTCTATCAAAGAGTGCCTTGGGATGATTGAGTTTTCAAATACCAGAGCTCAGTTTGCAGTTCCTAGCCCACTTAACACAACAGTATGGTAACCTCTAAGGAAAGATAGGAAGAAGGAATCGCAAGCTCTGGAAAATTTCAGAAAACTACCCAAAAGCTGATGAGCATTCATGAGTCTAGCTTAGAAGTAAATACTTCCAAAAGTAAATTCCAACCTCACCACCTCTGAGCAAAGTCGCTAGTCTTGAACTCAGCTCTTTTTTTTTTTTTTTGTTAAGTCCTTGCTTCAAAAATGTTCAATGTGACTCGGAGGCTGCCAGTGAAATTCACCTGTCTTTTTCCAAGATTTGTGTCTCAGGGCCCAGACACGAACAAGTTACTGCATGCCATCTGATCTGTGTGGTAACTGTGTGCACATTCTTGGTCCACAGCAAATGTGAGGTAATTTGAGTTAGCTTAGCCTTTGATTAAACTATTAATATCTGTTCAGTACTTTGAAGAGATCAGGAGTCATGCAAGTGCTTGTTAATGCATAGCTGTCTTCACGAGCGATCTAGGCCTCATTGTCATAACGCCTCCTGCAACCTGAAGGTGAAGCAGCTCGGTGGCCTGTGCCTCCCCCAGCAGAGGGCAGAAGAAGGTGCCCATGTGGACCTGGAAGCTCTGGACACCAAGGAGATCCCCAGCAAGAGGATCTGCATCTGAGGCACGTCACCGAAATGCAGGATGTCATTTATCTGTAGAGGTTGATGGGCGTCTTCCTGCTTCAGAACGGACCTGAAGCTGCTGTGGGAGATGGCAGAGTGGTGCCTCATGCAAATGCATGGGTAAGGAGCAGCAGAAACCGGGCACAAAACCTCACCAAAGCATCTCTGAATTACGGCCTGGTGTACCCTAAAATCCAGAATGATGTGTGCAAATAGTGCTGTGGCACAGAAAGGCATAGAAATGTGTTGACTGTATGAAGGGCTTTCCTTGTTGCAAAGCCAGAGACACAGCTGGCATACGTAGTTAGACTCTGTAGCCTCGTGCTGCAACTAATTCTGCAAATGTGTGGCACGCTGATTGTCACTGCATTTAAAAGGTAGGAGGTGCAATGAAGATAAGATAATGAGATAGTAAGGTGAAGTGGCTTGAAGTTGATAGTAAACAAGCAATTTATTTATTTTTTTTCTTAATTCCCAGCGTGCCTCATTCGATTGTGAAGGCTGGAGGTGTTTCAGGGTATGTGTGAACTTTATGACAGCAGTACCTAGTGTGGGTACCTTTGGGAAAGGGTTATCACCGAATGGCCAGTGCTTTCAGAAGTCAGTCCTTATCAGTGGAAGGGACTCGTAGCATTACCCGTGAAGCTGAAATCACGTATTTTTTTAGTCCTGCTGCTCTAATGTGTTTTCAGTTTTTATGGATATGACATGTTTTCCCTTCTTGCAGTTTACTGAACTATTTCTGTCAGCGTAATGATCCCCAGCTGTTGCTTTAGCCCTGGCTATTTTCATGCTGGGAATGGGAGGAGGAGGAGAGGGGCAGAGGCTAGCTTGTTTACCGCACTGTGATCTAATTCATTTTTCAGAAAAGGGTCTTTATAATGCTTTCTTTAGCCCAAAATAATGCTAAAAGGAAGGAGTTGTGGTTTCGGACTTAGCAGAGCAAGGAGATATAAGGATTCAACACATGCAGAAATAAAATGGATAGAAAGTGGGTGTGGTGCAATGAGTGCAGCTGTTAATAGCATTTATGTGGACAATGCTTTGAACTAGTAATGATACCAAGTAAAATTTGCAGTAAGTACTTTGCTGCCCTATCAGCTGAATTTTCTTTGCAGTTGAACTGAGAGCTTCGTGTTCATCAGCCGTGGTACTGGGGTATTGATATTCCCAGCAACTGGGAAACATTTTAATAAAGATTGGAAAAAGCAGGCATGATTTTGTAATTATTGCTTATTTGATAATTATTTGTTGCTTATTTTGTAAAGAAAAGATCTGTGTTTACATTTTCAAACAGCAAATAATTGATGCTTAGACTTGCTGGTAGCTGTTGGAAAGCAGATGCTTTTCTGAAAACAAAATTGTGACGATGCTTAAGCTCAGCTTGCTTGTTTTGCATCCAGAAACAACTTCTGGAGTTAACATGCTTGTTCCAAGGTCTTGCCAGACAGATGTCACTGTGGCTCTCCTTCCCAAACAAGATAAGGGTCAGTGACAATTGCTCACGCTTTTCAGATCTGCATCAGGCTGCCTGTGTAAATCTAATTGTGGTCCTTCTGTCACCTATGAGATCTGTCACTAGTCACCTCAGATTTTTTGGCATTCTGTCACACCTGTAAGTCATCGATCAATTACTTAAAGAATATCTATAACACAAATAAGTGCCTGCTTTGGTGTTTTGATCTTTCCTTTCGTGCCCCAACTCCCATCTATCCAGACTTTTC